CAATTAACTGCTAGATTCAAAAATCTTCTGGAGATTCTTAGGATCATTGCCTTGCCCATCTTCTACATATAACTGTATCACTTGACATTGTCATGTTTCCTAGCTCTTCTCCTTTACCTTTCTCTGATTAGTCCTCGAGATCCTGCTTTCCTTTTGCTTGTAACATTAGGAATTTTATTGGTGTTTCTGGTAAATTACATGTATTAGACAACACTTTTTATTATTAAAAGTTAGTTAAGTATGCTTTGGGAACTTCAGAATGCATTATGGGTATTTCCTTTATTTCTTATGGGAAAAATATAATCTTGCCTTACAACAAACTTGATTACAACCAGCCCTTGCAAACAAACTGAGTTCAAAGGCCCAGTATATATGCTGTCTTTAGACTTTGTACATGTAAAAATAAACAGGCTAAAAGAGAAATGTTGGAAATATTACATGCAAAACGCAGGGTTCATCATAATTATACAAAATAGAATAACAGTGATATGGGGCTGGAGAGATGGCTCAGTGGTCTAAAGCACCTACTTGGAACAAGCTTGGCAAAGCACAGGGACCGCGGTTCAATCCCCCGGCACCACATGCCAGCCAGCCTCGCCCCCTGGTGGGCTGAGCTGGCCACACACACACACACACACACACACACACAATAAATAAATGTTAAAAAAAAAATAACAGTGATATGAAATATCTTTTAAGTCCAAAACTTTAATGAGATGAAAATTAATGATAAAAGGATGATTCTATAGTGTATTTTAACTATATATATATATATATATATATAGAGAGAGAGAGAGATAAAGATATGCACACACACACACACACACATATATATTTCATAGCATGTCTCAAATATAGGAAGCAAACAGTGACACAACTAAAGAAACAGGAAGTGACACAATAGGAGGCTCAACTCTTCAGGTACAATAAAGGAAAATAAAGCTTGACAGAATAGTAACAGCAAACAGAGGACTACGAAAAGCATAAACCAACTAGACATACATATACAATCCTCTTAACAGCTCATTATATACTGGACAAACCAACTGATGCGGCACAAAACAAATCTTAATAGATCATAAAATATTAAGTTCTTTTCTAACCATAATAAAAGTAGAAATAAACAATGGAAGAGAAATCACAAAATCAGTGAATATGTAACAACTATTTGGAGGAGTACTAAGGATTAAACTCAGAGCCTTCTCACTGAGCTACATCCTTAGTACTCCCCTCGTCTGCCTTAATTTTGGGAAAGCGTGATGTTAAGTTGCTGAGCTCTTGAGGCTAGACCCAAACTTGCAATCCTCTTACTTCAGACTTAAATGTTCCTTTCCATCAATGGATGAAGGCAATTTAGCATATACAACTAGAATATTACTCAACTATTAAAAAGGAAATATTTTAACATCTAGAATAATGATCAATCTTGAGGACATTATTTTAAGTGAAATAAGTCACCCACAAATAGTTACTATGTGACTCTACCTATACATCTAAAGCAGTGAAACTTATAGAACGGAAAGCAGAATGGTGTTTGTGATTGGGAAAAGATAGAAAAGAGCATTAAAAAAAATTTATTTATTTATTTGTGCGTGTGTGTGTGTGTGTGTGTGTGGCCAGCTCAGCCCAACAGGGGGCGGGGCTGGCTGGCCTGTGGTGCTGGGGGATTGAACTGCGGTCCCTGTGCTTTGCTAAGCTTGTTCCAAGTAGGTGCTTCAGACCACTGAGCCATCTCACAAGCCCAAGAGCATTTATTTTTGATGGATATTGAATTTTAGTTTTACAAAATGAAAGCTTTATAATAGTATGTCCCATGACAACTTGAATAGAGTCGACAACTGTGAATAGAACACTTAAAAATATTCAAGAAAAAAAAATAAATAAAATAAATAAATAAAAAATAAAAATATTCGAGAGTATATTTTATTTTATAGGGTTTGATTACAATTAAAATTCTTTTTAAAACAGTTAAGTATAAAAATGTTAAAAAGCTACCTTTAAATCCTAGGTGTCCTTCTTAGAAAAGGAAATTAATTCATGAATAATTTCCATGAATACTCAGGTACAATGAAAAACTACTTAACACAAATCAACACAGAAATTACACAAGTCATGAACAAAACAGTGGCAATATTTCTGCATGTAAATAAAAACATATACAGTTTTGCCGGCAATAGACATATGGCTCATACATATTTGAGTTTCAAAAAGTATACAGTACTGAAAGCTAATATCCATTCTACGTATACATAAAAGACTAAAAATATTAACTGATGTGACTGGACCTACCTTAAAAAATAAAACAAATATGAATTGTAAAACAAGAAAATAACTTTAATCCAAAAGATCCTGAATAAATATGTACTGCTTTTATAGTCTTTCTCGATAACTACAATTTTCAGCTGTGACTGTGTAATATCCATGATGTAAAGGCATTGTGTACCTTTAACATTCAGTGTACAGCAGAAAAATTTCACAGAACGTGAAATTATGACCATTCACATAAGCATTCGCTATAACCATTCATACACAGATCTGATGAAACAATTTTAATGTATAAGCCCTTTAGATAATGTCAGAGAAACTTCTTTATGTGTCTTAGCACAGAGGTCTTTACAAGTACAACAATGAAAAAGTAGCCATCATGCAGATTCTCAAAGGTAAATGGGAGGACTTTACCTATCACTGTAAATGTGCGAGGAGGAGGGGCCTTACAGATTTTTAAAGCATGATAAACATAGGGCAACAAATGTCCTGGGGTAGAAAAAGAAATAAAACTAGGCTTCTAAAAAGTCATTTCCATTGGAAAGAGTTTCTCAACCCATATATCCATCTTTCATTTTCTGAGACAGGCCTAATCTTCAAACTCACAATCTTCCTAACTCAGACTTCTGACTCCTGGGATTACAGATATTCATAACCATGCCCAGTCTTCAGCTGACACTTTAAAATCTGGCTTCCTCTTTAACATTTGCACATTTTACCTGCATCTTCTGTTTCTACTTACCTGGATAAACAGCTACTACCTCTTCTCTCTCCACATTCCAAAACTCCTTCCACTGTTCCAGAAAGGTGACCAGACATGGCTTAGATACAGCAAGACCTATTTGTTGAAAAATATAACATAATGCTTGCTTGAGACATTTCTAACCTATACTTCACTTAGTACAAGACAGGTATCAAAAGATTCTGGAAAGAGCTTTTCTAAATTTTGTTTCTTGGCACTCATCAATTTGCATAATATGAGCTTACTTCCAACTACTATCAAATAAAAGATTAAAAACTGGACTATAGGGGCTGGGGAGAGAGCTCAGCAATCTAAGTGCCTGCCTGGCAAGCACAAGGATCCAGGTTCTGTCCCAGGGACCACATGTGATGCTGGCCCCAGAACCCCGGGAATGGTGTACCAGCCACTGAAACCAGGCATGGGAGGACTTTACCTATCACTGTAAATGTGTGAGGAGGAGGGGTCATGGATTACATGCCTGTAATCCCAGCACTGGGAAAGCTGAAACATGATCACTACAAGTCTGAGCTGCATAGTGAGACCCTATATCAAATAAATAAATAATTTAAAAAACATCTTTCAATGGACTATAAGATATATGCCACAATATTTCATACCACTGAATTTCTATAATTATCTCTAGTTGTTAAATGAAGGTTATAAATTATCACAAGAGAAACTTAAAACAAGAAGAAATACAAACATTTTCCAATGTATGCCAACAACCTCCAATTTTTTTCCTTGAAAGCAAGAATCTAAAAGTGATTCACGCAAACTAAAAGCACCTAAGAGATGCTCTGTAAAGTAAATTAATGTTGTTAGTGTACCAGTGGTTTTCTACGCATTATCCTCACCCAAGAAGACCAGATTTCTGTAGTTCTCTAACATCACATCTCTGTATAAATTCCATTGAGCAGGGTCCAGGCATTCCCACTCCTCTGGAGAGAAATCAATGGCCACATCTCTGAACGTCAACAGTTCCTGAAAAATAAACAAACAAATAAACAGCACACTGACCACCTGGACACTAACAAGAGGTTTTTTTTGTTTTTTGTTTTTTTTTCCAGAACCGGGGATTGAATTCAGGCCCTTGCACTTGCCAGGGAAGCGTTTCTTCCACTGAGCCATCGCCCCAGCCCCAAGAGTTCTTAATGTGGCCCAAGATGAATGAGAGAGCTTGGAAGAATTATTATAGTCCTGACATAGTGAACACAGTGATGTTCACTAATTTATAATCTAAGGAAAGAAAGTAATATGAGATCCACAAAAATCAATGCAAATACTATAAGGAAAGCTGGGGGACAGAAAGGAAAACATAAGGGCCTTAGTGAAGTTTATGGTAAATCCTGCCTGGAGCTACAGGGAGCAATTAAAAGCAGCAGGGAGAACTGATACTGCTTGGGCACCAGAGTCCCCATTCACTGCTCTCCACATCTAGCTAAGTACAAAGGAGGCCAACTGGGGAAGGTGCTGTACTATACAAAACTCAGTATGTAAAATATATGTTCACACCTGGACACTCATATATAGCTCACCATTTTAATGTATTAAAAGGTACATGTATCCCTTAACCAATTGCTAACTCAGTATTTTTTTTTTTTTAATTTGTTTGGTTTGGTATTTTTAGGGAAGGGTCTAAAGGGTGTTCAGGGTCTCACTACTAGATTGGGCTCATAGTGATCCGCCTGTTTGCAGCCTCCCAAGAGCTGGGATTACAGGCCTGCACCACCACGCCCAGTCTCAACTGTTGTCTCAGCACACCTTGGTGGCACAGCCAGCATGGCAGGCCTGGGGATTAAACCCGTGGCCCCTGTGCCTGCTTGCACTGAGCTATTTGGCCAGCCCTGCTAACTCAAGTCTTGAAGGTGAGGCTCTGCTATAAATATCAGAGATAACACCTTGACAAAACAAAGAAGACCAAAAATAAAATAAGTTTTCTTCTAGTTTACACGTAACTATTTGCAGGCTATATAAGCACATTTGTACCCTTTTTCTTTAAAGTATCTGAAAGCTTTATTTTCAAGATTCTTTTATAAGAGGTTCTCACAGAAAGAATATTTAAGGCAAACTTCCCTGGCACTAATTTTGGAGCATAATTTAAAAATGTAAAAAAAAAAAAAATATATATATATATATATATAAAGCTTACTCCACATTCATACATAGACAATGGAAAGAGACAGCAGCAGAACAACCAATCAAGCTATAACAATGCCAGGAGTCCCTGTCTTGTCATGTAAAAGAGGCTAAGAACAAAAACCCTCAAGCTCTCTCACTCCTCATTTCTCTCCTCTTTCCAATAAGGTAGCTTATTCCTTCTAAACTTATATGTCTAATTTTTTATTTGTATAAAGTTTATGAACTCCAGGGAAGATATAATCCAACCTCATTGAAGATGTGACAATACTATACTTTTATGTAATATGAAGTACAAAATTACAGTATCAACACAGAAATATATACTTTAAGTACCATATTATCTTGAGGGGGGTACTACAAATAAAAATTAGGATCTTGAGCTTGCCAGGCAGGTGCTGTGCCACTGAGCTATATTTTAATCAGATGATAAAGCCATGATGAGTTACAAGGGTACTTCTAAAATTGTAATGGGTACAACCATGACTTTGAGATCTTATCAAAACTCATATTCTAACTAGTTCTAGATTGGGGCCTGGGTTTCTCAAACACAAACTCACCTACCAAAAGTCCAACAGACAGTCTTAAAGAATCATTAGGCAGCTGGGCAGGTGGCACATTCCTGTAATTCTGATACAGGGAGAAAAACTGGTCTCGGGTGGGTGACCTCCAAACCATACAAGGAAACTCCAAACGACATAGAGAAAAACAATCTCCCGACCTAACCTGTATGAGTTCGTGTTCTCTAAAACCAAAGAATGAATTTTAGGAACAAATGGAGGTTATGAGCAGAATATATTTATTGAGAGAAAGAAAGCTCCTGTCCAAGAGAGGGACAGGAGGGGGGCCCCCCGAGCAGGTAGTTCCCCCGGGGAAGCTGTCTCTTCCAGGGACTTTTATAGTGTAAAACCATGTGAGGCTAAGGAAGAGAGAATGGGAACTCGCTCAGGTGGGCAGGAGGTGGGACAAAACTATGGTCAACCAATGGGATTACATAAGGGACGGGGTCTTCTCCTGTTGGGGGTTGGGCTAGTGACTCACTTGGGTCTTTCCAGGTGATTGATACCTATTTAGAATATCAATCCCAGGTGCTACTTGTTTAGCATTTGTTAGGCCTTTAGGTCTTTAGGTCTTTAGGTCTGGTTCACAGCAGGAGCATCCGCCCCTCCAACAGTTGTAAGGCATCTCATCTTCTGTGCTGTCTCCTTCGAGGGCCTGGCCCTGTCTGACTGCCTATAATATTTCTATCTAACTCGGCTGCCTGCAATAATTCCAGCACACAAGAAGCTGAGAAAAGAGGATTGCCACAAGTTTGAGGCCAGCCCGAACTGCATAATCATACCCTGTCTCAAAGAACAAAAGATCAGGCGATTATAGCAACAACAAACATTTCTGATCATTTATAATAAACTACAAGCCACTCTAACAGTCTGAGACAGGAGAATCACTGAGTCTGAGCTAGCAAGACTCTGTACCAAATAAATAAAGATTTTTTAAATTACCATAATTCATAGTTTTCAGACACTTCAGCCCATAATTGGCTGGCTCCAAGGCAGGGTGGCATGGCAGACAGACAATGCATAGGAGAAACAGCTCACAGTGGGCAGAGGGTAGAAAAACAAGCAAGAAATCACCACAGCTCTGTCTATCCCTTGTTTCTTATCCAGTCTACCCATGCTTAGGGTGGGTAGCACTCACCTTAATCCTAGTGCCCTTGATCCTAACATTGCACCATGAATCAGTGTTATATACTTTAGATCCAGCCACCTCTGAAAAAGTCCCATCTATGACTACACTAGGCTTTGGAAGGACATCTAGACACAAGTCATAACAATATTCTGATGCATCAATCCCAAAATAACCTATGAAAGCAGTACTTACCCTCTTTAAAGGTAATATTTCATAACACACAAGCAGTAAAGCCTGTTTTTATCCCTACTTTATCCAAACCTAGAGTTCATATAAAAATGAATATAAGGGCCAAAATAGAGTATATATTAAAAGGATGCTTTTCTTAAATTAGAGAAGCAATGAAAATGCTATGGGTCACTCCGAATAGGAACCAGATCAGCCAGGGTGGAATTTGGAAAGCCGTTTATTACTGAGCTCAGGGTCCCCGGTCTGCTCTCACGCAGGAGGACCGAAAGACGGCAGCCCAGGAAGCAGGAAGGGGTTTTAAACCCTGGCACCACATTGAGTTTGATAAGCAAATTTATTGTCTGATCACACTCAGTTTGGTAAACAAATTCATTGTCTGACACAAAATAATGCTGTCAGAGTGATTGGGACCACTACTCAAACTACATTACCGGGGCTTTTGTTTCAGTTTCTGGTTAATTTGCACCTGAGTACCTGCAGGCAGCCTTGCATGGCCCGAGGTTACAAGAAGTTAAAGCCCATTTAGTTTCCTTTAAGTCATCTCTGTAAGCTAACTTTGCTGACAAGAATTGGTGAGGGTTACAGTAATTTTATCTAGCAAACAGCAAGAAACAGCCACTAGTTACTAAACAACTTAGAACAGTGGTAAGTATACGTTTTTACACAACAGGAAACACAGGATTTACATTTATAGCCTAAAATGTGAGTTAACCCATTACAAAAACATGTTAAAGAGAGACAAACATTGCATTTTACAGGAGCCCAACACTTACCCACTTCTTTATGAGATCAAATCAAAACACCTGGAGAGAGCCGCTTTATCCGGGTGGGTGCCTGTGAAAATGCTGTATTCAACCCTGGGGAAACCCAGAGAGCGCTTACATGATAGCACAAAGCATAAGACAGAATGCCTCAGCAGCTACCGTGAGGAAGGAGGGCACGTGCAGAGCTGAAGGGAGAATTTAAGTGGGCACACTACCACAGCTTCAGGAGGAAGCAAAACGGCAGTCTGAGCAGACAGCTGACCTGGGTCTGCAGAGCAAGCACACTCTGGAGAAGCTCGCTGAACCATCTGTGGATGCTCACACACTACACTGTGGAGTCATTTTGAGATCTGAGCGAGCTCATTCCTTTGGAAGCAAAAGCTACTGCATCGTCCTGTCTTCGGGAGCCTTGTAGCAATATTAATGCACTGCCTCAGGACAAGCAAGTCTGTGACCTCTTGAGGAAACAGAGGTTACTTCTTTAGGAACAATAGTTCAGGAAGCTAGCTGCAGGGTTTCAGGGGAACAGAACTTGTGTATGACATGACCTGGGAGCTAACGCAATCAGTGCAATTCTATAGACTTTCCACATTCTCCAAGTGAGCAGCATAAAAGGCTCCAAGGACTCTGCCCTGCAGTGACCATCATCAGCTCTGCCCTGACGGTGGCACAAAGCAAGCCTGCAGGAGAAACCCTGACTTCCTCCTTACCTCATACTGGCACCCAGGGCAGCTGAGATACTTCAGCTGGCTCTGGTCACAGACCACTCCCAATAGTTGCTGGGTGAATAACAGAAACAAAAGAAGGAGACAAGCAACCTCTAGCCTTTTGCAGCACACAGCCTAAAAAGAAACAGAAGCTCTGATCTGTGTGGGTTGTGAACATCCACTCTTGCCTGGAGCTCAACAATCTTGGAAGAGGATAGTTTTAGTTTTTAGGAAGACTTTATTAGTACATGTTTGTATTACATACACTCCTTGGAGGAAAATTAGTACATATACATAACACATCTTTCTTTTTCATCCCCTTCTCTCCTATCTTTCTCACCTCCCTCCATCTCTTTATCTCCTTCCCCTTTGAGAAAGATCTCCCTAATTGCTACTATATATCTTTTATTTTGTCCTTTGCTTATGCTTGGGGTTGCTCCTGAGAAACCATGTGATACTTAAGCTTGCATGTCTTGTGTTTCACTTAATATTAGGG